ACTTGCAGGAAAGACTCATCATCCATTGAAGGTCCTTCGCAGATGCAGTCCAGCTGGCTTCCACTGTCCAAGTCGTCGTCACTGAGTTGCCAATGCCTTTTCAGATGCAGTAGTCCTAATCCCGGGCAATGTCTATGGATCCACTTTGTTGGACATCGGATGAACGCGATGACAATTTCAGCTGGCATTCAAAGGTCTTTGCCTGTGTTGACCATAGAAGAGAAAGGGCTGGGGTTCGATTCGCGTAATTGGAACGCGTCCGCTGCCACCAGTGTAGAATACCCGAGCCCTAATAGGTAAAAGACCGGTGCAGCAGGACAGGCTTTATTGACCAATCAGAAGCCAGAGCCACACGTCAGGCGTCTTACATTCGAGTCCGCCGCGCTGGTCACGCCGCTCACCATATACTATACCGCGGTCGTGTCCTACCCTGGTTTTCTGCCTTCCTTTCCCGCATGCCGTTGAAGCGCAGAAAGACACGGGATTGGCTGAGTCCAGGTGGTCCAACATGTCTGCGCCCTAATCCGACGCCACACCACACCTAATTTTTTTTAAATGAATTATGAATCTATCTGAAACCTTTAACTGTAATGAAGGTCTTGCAAAGCTATCAAATGATGGAAATTTAATTGCTTACGCCAGAGAATGTGCTTTGACAGTTCGTAAAGTCACTAATTTCGTCGTTGTTAATGTCTTCAAATGCGATAATTTCGTGAATGATATTAAATGGTCACCGGACTCAAACCTTATCCTTTGTGTTATTAAACAGATGAGAATGCTTCAGGTTTAGAGGTGTTGTTCTTGTTAAAACAGCTGCTAGGTGTTTTCGGTTGAAACAAGTGCATGGTCTTGCACCATTGAAAACGTCCCGCATGTGGGCTTGAAAGATGTTTGCTGGGCTCCGGATAGCCGGCATATCCTCACAACGAGCGAATTTAACTTGAGGATCACAGTGTGGTCATTATCAAGAAATTGCGTGTTCTTGGAAAACCCAAAGGTATATTTTAATGTATCATTTCACCACGAATCTGCCACAGGACCCTTTATTTGTGTCTGTTATACCGGTGAACCCGAACACCTGGTTTTTTCATATATCGTAGTAACTTATTCATATTAACTGATTGCAATTGTTAGAAATAACCGAATGAATTGAAATCGACTTTAGCCCTCTAGTTTAATAGTAGCGACCCTCTGGGAATGCAGGTTGCAAGCAATCAAGTTTTTGTTCAACCAACCATTTCGCGTGTCTACTCTTTCGGGCCGGGTTGCTCTTGTTGCGAATTGCGATCCCTGGAAATGCCCTAAATTTTAGCCCACTTACTGTTGCTGTATAAAGCATAAACGTTGTTGGTCCTACTTTTAAGTTGTGTTACCGCTTCTTTTACAGGCACTACATAATGCCTCTTGGTGTTATTATCCTTAGAACGTGAGTCAATAAAGCTGAAACGATAATTCAAGCGAATGCACCTAAAGACTTATCAATCTGTTTTTTCTGTTTTGTCTTTTAATTTTGGCAAAATGAGGCATCGGTACAGATGAATGTGCAAGGACACTAAAACACATGCGCAGATTGTATGCGTGAGTCAAATACGGTGTAAAGTTCCCACTGTCTTTCATCCCTCTCCAGTCAAAGCTACTCGCTCAAACAAGATTTTGCATCGATACTTCTGCTAGTAAATGTTGTTACCAGTGGCGGAATTACCGGCTAGTTATATAGATGAGCATAGTTGAACACCTTTGCCTTCCTAAATGAGGCTTCTTGCTTAGTTGTGTAAACTACGAAGGCATCAACCTTGTGAAAAATACCCGTTTTTTGCAGGGTTAGTGGATGCTATTGTCTCGCTTTGAACCACTACTTCGCATCCAGGCATCACTATTTAGGGACTACTTCAATTGCACATGTTAGGTTGTGTATGCGTCAACAGTGCTTCTAGCATTACTACAACCGTAGTTGAATAACAACCATATTGGGGCTTGTGTTTAACGCAGCATTTGGGATGGTTTGTTGTTTTGAATGAAGTGTTTGGAGCGGAGGAACCAAGCAGGATTATTCTCGTATTTCTTAAACATGTTTCTTTCACTTTCAGGCATGCAAAAAATCTTTGGCCTTTTCGCCTGGTGGACGTTTCCTTTGTACGTTAGGGCGTGATGAGATGAAGGACTACTTGCACATTTATGACTCAAACGACCCTCGTTGGTGTCGGGTTACTACCACACAGGTACCAACACGTGATGCAGAGGGTGTTGAATGGTCGCCCGATGGACGGTATATCGCAGTCTACGACTCCTGTCTTTACGATAAAGTGGCCATTTTCAACGGAGACGGCACCTACCTTCGGGCTTTTGGCATAAATGGTACTTCTAGGAGCGAGGACAAAGAGAATGCGGATTTTAGCTTGGGGATCAGATGTATCCAATGGGCACCATCTGGCCAACTTCTCGCTATCGGGGGGTAAGCCAATCGACTATTTCAAAGCCTCGGTGCTGCTCTACTAAACCATAATTTAAATTGTAATCCGCTTAACATAATCCGTAAAATGTCAAACCCAAGATGATCTGATGTTCTGTGTTGTTTTGACCCGACCGTTCTGTTTTGCTTATCCGCTAATTGCACTAAATAGGTTAAATTTGGAAACCCAAACGGATGTGGACAAATGCTATGACCTTTTTATGCTTCCAATACAGGTTAGTCCGAGTTCACCCGGTTTAATGGCAAGCATAAATGCTAAACTCCTTGTTTAGGGCTGAATTTGAAATTCTTCGCTTTGTTGCATATACTTTGATATAGTTGCGGATTTGAGATGTCGGTAGCTCAGGTAAGTGGTGCCGTTTAATTAAGGCCAATATGGAGTTATGACACACTGATGGATATTCCTTCCAGCGATCGGGTGTGTAGCCAAATGGTCATTGGGAGTATAACGACTGTCCTCAATTACACTCACTTTCCCAACGGTTTTTTTGTTTCTAACAGCTACGACGGCAGGTGTCATCTTTTGAACCACGCAACCTGGACCTCTGTGGTGGTGTTGACACATCCTCTCAACAGGCCTATCGATCCACTGCTAGGACTGGGTCCCACGGGAGAAGTGTTGGAGAACCGCATTGAGAACCGCGCGTCGAAAACCCATAAAGTCGCCATTTACCTTGAGACGCATTGTCCACATACTATAAAATCGCACTGCGGACCCTACGGTGACGTGGCGTCTGACGAGGATTTAGGCCAAAGCTATACCGTCTCTAACACTCCCTACACCGTCGTGCCTGTAAAACCAGACCCCAAAAAACCTAACCCAAAAGTACGTGTTTGTTTGTACATTAAGCGGATATCTACCCGCGAACCTCGCACGTGACTGTTGCTCATCTGGCTTGAATTATATCTATTTTTTGTTAGAAACCTATTTGGGTGAGTTCATCATAGACCTATCGGTTATTTCTTTTGTGGTTACCCATGAGGCCCTAAAATATGCGAGGCACTTGTCTATGTGATTAAAGACGCTTTTGAACCCCTTCATCTTTGGCGTTACCTGTGAAACTAGCAGCTCATTTCACAATTCCCTCCATCAAGAGTCATTAACGCCATGTCTCAGAATAATGTGAAAGGTGGGCTATTCAGCTGTGCTGTGTTGACAGGAGCTCCAACAGCACGGCGCAGATTTCAAAGTAAACTACGGCATTTTGTAGCAAGGAAGTTAAAGGGAGTCGTGATTCACACATTAAAAAATTAGTTCATCAACGTCAGTGCCTTTTCAGAATCGTTTGGTTTACTCATACGTAGTTTACTTTATGGATTAATCTGCTCCGTTATTACCTACTGAAAGTTTCCGTGTCTATAGTTGGTGTTAGCGGCCGCATATTAAACACGCCCACACACCCACACGCACGAATACTTTTGGCTGGCCTGATCGTGTCCACCGTCCCCTGTCTTTTCTCCGTTCTCTAGTTGTTATAGACTTTTAACTAGAATGATTGTAAGGCAATCAAATTTCCTCTGTACAGTTCCAGTAGCCAATCATGGTTCGCGTAATCAAGGCCCATTTTCGCAACCGGAATATTACCTCAGCACTTTCCATGTATTCACCCCTTGACACTTTTGGGAAACGCGACACCCTGTCAATAACGACAACGAAGGTGGTCAGATTCTGTTGAACCTTATGTCTCACCATTTGCTGAATGCTTGCAAACCTTCCTTGATATAACCTCTTGCTGTCAGTGGCTGCGGTAATTCGATTGCATGCCACCCGTCTTGTGGTGTTTCCGTCTGATTGATGAGATTAGGTTTCGAAATGGCTTGTTTTTATTAAGATGGGTGTTGGCCTTTGCCTTTTCTCGCCCACTGGCCGTTACCTGGTGACGCGGTTGGAAAATGCGGCGCATGTCCTCTGGATATGGTCCATCGGTGTGCGAATCGCACTGGTAGCCATCCTGAGCCACTCCTCGCCCGTTCTCTCTGCCGCCTGGGACCCCCAATCCACGGCCAGACTCGCCTTCTGCACGTCCACTGGTCGTGTGTTCGTGTGGACCCCGCTTGGGTGCCTCGCAACGGTGGTACGTCGGAGTCGCCTTCTTCCGCTCACGTTTCGTTATGCGCTCACTTTTTTTAAATTTCTATATTACATTTGTTTTTTTTTTGAAAATGCAATTTGCTAATTGCAAGGACCCAATCACCAATGCCATTCATGAAACTTTGCTACACTAGTAAATAATAAATTGATTATCGTGCTATTGAGAGTCCCCTAAGTAATTGTATACAAATCCTGCTAAGGCCAAGTGCCTTGGGTTAATAACGGTAAGCCTTTTGTGTTGTATTAACTGTACGTAGTGAGAATTTAACGGTGCCCTTCTCGGACATTAGTAATGGTTACCAAAGCTAAAGTACTTTGGCTTCGAGAATCGGCTTTGTACTTTAACGCATTTCTGTCTTAGTATGGGACACCTTATTTAGAAACAAGTGTTTCATGACGAGTGAATAACGGCTTATTTACCTTCAACTTGTACTTTCAAATTAACGCATTCGTTTAATCAAAGAAAGATTTCGTTTTGATATTTTATAGGGAATTCGTTTAATTTATGCTTGCTTCTGCATTTAGATCGAGAAACTGAATTCCAAGTTTCCTGTCAAGGCGTTGTCGTGGAGTGAAACCGGAGACGCCCTCCTCCTTCACTCGTCGAGGTCTTTCTGTGTCTGCTATTTAGACAAAGATCTTGCTGCCGCTGCTTCGAGGAACACGTGGAGTGTGCCCATCACGGTGCGGCATCCTTTGGAGGACAAGGTAGACCCCCAAACGCCCTTGAGAGACAGACTTTCTCTAGTCGAATCAGACTTAGATCTTCCAAGCTGGGCGTCATCTGGAAGACCGAACCAGACACCGGCTACCAACAGCGTAACGTCTGGGTCAGCAAACTCCTCACGCCGTCCCAATGTCTTTCCTCAAAACCAAGAACGAAGCCAGTGGGAGAAGTAGTAAACCTCTAGTCTTCATTTGCATTTACACGTGTTATTTTCGGGCTCTTTCAGGAAGAGCCGCCCTCTTGTAAATATACAGATCATTTTCTTTGTCTTTTTTAACTGTTAGCGTGGAACGCTTACATGGTATACGGTTTTAAGTTCCATCATGTAGTGGTTTGCTTACACTACCTTACAACCCTCTAGTTAAAAGTCTAAAAAGCCCGAAGAGAGACAAGACAGCGACAGCGGACGAGGCCGTTAATTCATGTCGGACGACTAATAACAGTGACCAATCAAGTAGGGATAAGTCATTGACACTTTCAGTTCAGTAAAAAGGCTCCACTCACGCCCGATCGCTGGATGATCCACTACAATGTCACACAATACCATGAGCTAGTATTTACTCATCCTTAAGTATTACCACTGACCTTAGACAATATATGATACTGTAGTGGGGAATGTTAAATTCACCAGGCTTACCGACCTACTAAGATGCAGGCTCAGGCCTAAGGTTTATTTATGCACCTAATAGCTTCAATCCCATCAAAGTATCGATATTTCAAACTGTGCGACTGCTTAACTTCTAAGTCTGAGGTTGAGGCCTGTTGTACCCTATAATTTGGCTCTAGTATTTTAAATGCTCCGTTGTTATTATGGGTTTAGTGAATCTGATTTTCGAGGTTTATTAGTGAAGCGGTCACCTGGAGCAGTGGTTGTTTGTCGGCCAATCACGTTCGGATTATGCCATCTCTACAGACTCGGAACGACTGGGTTTGAGCCTCTTCAGTGCAAACAACATCAGCATAGACAATGGCGAATATGCGCGCCGAAATCGAGGCACTGCAAAAACAATCCGGTAAAGTGCATCTGTATTGCGACAATAGGTAGACTAAATAGTAAATGTTAAACAATTTATACAACAAATATTGGGCATTTTGAATAGTCTTCCAACAAAACTAGCATAGTAAAACAATGTGACATTTATTTTCTGCTACCAATGCACCCAAGTAGATATAACGTAGCTACTTTCAGTGGATGTAAGAGCATAACCTTGACTACTTTCCAGACTATCTCGCTCCTCCAAAAGTCGCTAGTTCGGGATCAGACTTTAAAGCATGGGCCAGATTAACAAAGTCAGCCTTCATTGGTGCGTTTAGTGTTTTGTCTCATTTCTTGGAGGACTGAGTGCCAGCGCAGTCTGTCAACGACTATTGATCGCTTCGACTCATCGTGTAGGCAAACCTGCTGTGAAGGTGATTACGGTTGCTGATTGAGGCCTTTGTTTAGCTCTTGACTTGCGTGATGGTGCAGTCGTTTCTGGAAATAGATTTGCCATTCGTTAGTATTCAGAAGTTCCCACATTTTGAATCAAATTGTTTTGTGACATCCAGTAGAGGTGTGGGAGGTTATTCCTGTGCAGCAAATAATTCGTGACCCCAATAGCGCGTTGCTCACAGCAACCGGTGCATTAATTTACAGTCTAAACCGACACCAATTGACCCTGTGATTTACCACGTTGTTTTCTGTTGCAGGGTTGGTAGTTCACAAATGGTTTCATTATGTAGCCGTAAATTATATCGTTGAAAACTTGAAAATTTCCGATGTTCTCATTTTCGTTATTTGATTTCAGAGACAAATTTTTAAACTTGAATAATTATGAACCACACTTAAACAAAATGGTTGGCCTACGGAGTTCATTTAAGAAGTTATTGCATCTAAGCCAAACCAATACGTAATTCCAAATTGTTTCGACCTTCTTCGGTTCCCTAAGGCTAAGTTTTATGACTCTTTCGCCCCTGTAAGCATCGTAAGTCAGGCCATCTGAGTAGTCTTCAGATCCCATTCAGGGTGACCATTTGACCCTCTCTTAAGTAACACAATTAGTCCTAGTACTCACTCTTACACAGCATTTCTAGTACCAGGGCAGAGTCAAATTACACGTTGCTACTCCTGCTGAAAATAATGTTTCGTCACATGGACTCAACTGCTTTGGTAAAGGTGTAAAAGAATTTGCGGTAATGTGTCGAGGGTGGTTAGAAAGCCTAAGCGGAACTATTTTGTAGGTTTGTGATAAAAACGCCAAATGCCTTCCTTTCCACGGAATGTGAAGGCTTCTGCGGTCACTGTGGTGGCATCCGCATTGAAACGTGAAAGTAGTTGCATTTGTGTAAAAATTCCCTAACAGAAATCGGTGTCTGGGGCAGTGGCAAAGACTCCTATGAAGGTGTAGTCAGGGTGGCCAGGCGACATTGCATACTTGAAAGCTCTGACGAGTCTGAAATTCTTGCAAGAAAGCTAGACCACTGCATATTACACAATTTACGCATTTTAGAATTCTGAACCAACCGGTTTGCAATACACCGACGAAATGTTTATTTCTGCTTCAGCACCTATTTGGGTCCGGATATTGAACAACAATGAAAGAAAAGAAGCACCAAGGCTGGTTTAATACAAGAATGGTTAAAATTCATGAAGTATGCTGAAATGTATTGGTGGATTTCGGAAAGGGGTTTTTTATTGGACGGAGAAAGCGGATTTCCGAAGCATGTCTGCACTTATCTGTGGCGGTGTGATTTCCTCGTCGGACAGCTCATCCACAAGAATGACTGGCGCCTCATAGACTGTGTCTCCATCATCAAGCTACAAAATGCGAATTTTGTTTTTTTTTGAGGCACGTTGGTGCTAATAAATCCTTTCAAAGTTAACGAATGTTAGCAAAAGACGAGCACAAATTTCTGTTCTACACCCTTGAGACAGTGCCGTGACCTTTGTGATCTAAGTAAAAGAGGATTGCCATAAAGCAAGTTTGACCCCATAAATATGCTTTTTATTAAGACAGAAAACAAAATTTGGAACCGGAATTGGTAATTAGCTATTAATGTGCGTCCCAGTATATCCTTGGAAGACCTAATATCTTCTTGCTGAATATCATTAATTTTCTTGAGAAATCGCTTGTGTCATCCTTGTTGCAAATGTCGGATTTTGGAGAGCCTTCGATTGCTCGTAGTCAGCTTAGTCACTGTGGTCAAATACAATTAGTCACGTTAGCGAATTCTCAACGAGGCCAAACTCACTTTAGCGTAGTTTTCACCACAAGCCAGAAACGAGTGGTGAGTTTTTGAGGCATGCCAAGTTATTTGTTTAGACACTCAAACGACTTATTTTACAATTAAACGTGGGAGCGTGTGCTCGTTCCTATCGCAAGACCTCATGGAATTGTCGGGCGACAGTTCTTATAGGTCCATTTCGAAAATTACAGCGTCGTGCCAGTGGAGCTAATGCGAGTTCACAGTTCTTAACAAACGACCTATCTTGGCTAACAATTTTGCGGCTGCACCGTTAAAGAAAAGCAGCTTTATCTTTAAAAACGCTACATTTCTATCATAGAGCTGGATTTTAATGCAGAACGAGACTATCTCATCATTCACTTCCGTAGAACAGAACATGTTTTAGGAGACCACAAACCACCTGCAGTAAATATTCCAGGCGGAAGTTATGCAAGTTTACTGTCGGTGGGAGCGATGATCCAAGTTGGAATGTCGTGGACTCCCAGTAATGCTTCCAATCACCGGCCAATTTTTGGTTGTAATTGTCGCTGTTGTAACTCTCGAGCACATCCGATTTGGCTCCAGACTTTCGTTTCAGTGAGGTCCACGGGATGATTTCAACTGACTCCTGCAACCTCGCAGGGTGATACTGGATCCGGGCGACAACTCTCGCTCTCACCTTTTTCACTTCAGAAGTCGTGTCCCCAAACACAGCTCGAATCGGTGCATCACGAGTAACAAACTTCTTTTCAATCTGAGTTCGAATAAAATATCAATCAGCAATAATCTGAAATTCGAAAGATTAATAATTACCGTCTTAGTTAGTACATCTGACCATCATTCTGTGCGCAGTTCATGAGGTTGAGCTGTGGTTATTCTAAGTTTCTAGGACTCGTAAAGTGTTGTGTCGTAGGGCCAATCATCAATGTCGAGATGCAATTTGTTGCTGAATCTTCATGAACTGAAAAGAGTGCCTTATTTTGTAAAAAAAAACGAAGTCATGAATAGACCAACCCACACAACAGACTAATTCGCGCGTCTCAAAGCCCAATATCAAATGCGTGTTTTTGAACTGGAGTTGAGTCCAGGAAAAGGAAGCAAATACTCGTATAAATGCATGACAAACCATATGAATTAGCATCGCAGGTTTTTACTGCAGCCTGACTGCATAGTTGTACCATTAGCCCCGATAACTTTGGTAGATTACTTATTTCTCAAATACTAATTCAAACGCAATTCATTTTGAAATCGCAAAAGTCCACTGAACTGGGTAGTAATGGCCTTAAATCGATTGACTGGAAGTTTTCCGGCCATGTGAACATGAACTATCGCATCAGTATGTGTTATTAGGTGTAGCAGCACTACTTGTAACCAAGATGCTTACGATTCTGTTACATTTGCTGTGTTATTTTTACCCAGTAAATTAAATGGATTTATTTACTCATTCGGTACTTCCCAGAGCAAGACATTTCCATATCATTACGTTTTAAATCTTACTCGTTGTTCCCTGCTTATTATGAAATGATAATTTTCAGTTGGGATGGAATATTTTTTGTGATATGGCTTCGTAACTTTATGGTTTTCGTTTCCAAACCACACTTTGTTATCAAGTAATCGAGCTCAATGTGTTTGTTTGAATAAAAAAATTTTGACTTGATAAACAAGCATTGTTTATTAAAGTCAATTCACTTCCTTCCTAGATTGCGTCAAGTATCGGTTTAATTCCATCTTTAGCTCTATAAACATCGATATTAAAATAACCACGGCCTTCCTAATACACAAATTTTGACATTTTTTAATGTAGACCAGCGAATGTGAAGACTAGTGTGCCAAATTAATAATGTGACTTGTTTGGTAATAAGCATAGTGGGATAAAATTTAAGATTGAAAAATAACTAAGGCGTCAAACAATTGCACTTAGGATGAACGACAAAAGAATCATAAAAGTGCAGATGTTCAAAAATAATTAATGGACAGATGAAGAAAGTGGGTCGCAGTCCATCCTCAACATTACCTCTTAATAAGTTTGCACTGCCTGTTCTTGGAATGGTGTGCATCGTTAAAACTATAAGTGATACCCTAAAATTTCACATAAACAGGCATCCAAACACTTTCTAAATCCCCAAAACTATTCAAAAGATAAAAATATTTGAAATAAATTTGACGAACACACCGTAAACATAAGTGGAGCAGTTGGGCAGATTAAGCTCAGCACTTACCTTGGGATTTAAACTATAAATACGTCATCTGTGCCTGATGTAGAATCTCTATAACCAACATGCCACTTACGGCCATTTCTCTGTCTCCGTTTGAAAAACCAAGTCCCGCCGATGTTCTACCGATCGCGGGCACCCAGATGGAAATGGCGTCTGTTCTGTAGGTCTTTCCGTTTATGGTGATCTCCGCGTACAACGCATAACTTCCTCAAAATAATGTGACACTAGTCAAGGAGTTACTCATCATCTTTGACACCGATTTGCAGTATAATTCACTCATTGGTAGCGAAAAGATCACAAAGGGACTTTAGGACACATCAAAAATTGTTTCAAACAGATCATTAAAAAAGCTACAAAGTGACGAGTTTTGTCAAATTTAATTAATGCCTCATATATAACCCTCTAACTTAAACGCTACAAATTTCGAATGTTACCTGACGCACTCAGTTTTGAATTTTCTCACACTTAAGAGTAGTTGGTGGTGTAAACAGCCTCCTGTAACGGTAGCGGATTTTATGTTTGCTTGAAATAGCAGTAACAGGTGACCTCGTGACGACAATATGCTACCATTTTACCCAGCACAGGTTTATGACCCCAAGCATTTGCGATGAAAACCTAACAGGTTGCAAAATCGTGCTATTCCGGCAATTTATGCTAAAACATCAAGTGTTCTTATGCGTGTGTTTCAATCTACTAGGCTTCTCTAACAACGACCCAGTCAGTGGTTTTAAGGTGTATTTTCTTCTTTATGGGGCGTGTTTTTGTACACTGACAGCGTGGGGCCTGTGAGTTGCAGGAAGAACGTGGAGGGTTGTGTTGAGGACATTTACCAGCAGATGATGTCGATTCGACAGAGTTTAAAAAGCAAGGCAAGCAAATAGCACTTCCGCTTAAGTAACTGCAAATGCTTAATTGCATCTCAAAACTAAGGACTTGACCGGCTAGCCTCCCGTACTTACATTAATTACGGACCTACAGGAATACAGAGTTTCTTGCTTAATGCAAGCTTCCCCATGGTATGTGCGCCAGAAGTCATGCAAAATATACGCCAGGCTACAAGGGTGCATCCCGTAAATCATAGAGTGGACACCCTCCCGTTTGTTCAAATAATCTGCCGATAATATTGGGGACTAAAATAACATGCGCGGTTTGTGGAATTTTTCCGTGCCAAAACTCCATAAATGTACTTGAGTTGAAGGCATTTGTCCCTGAATAAATTAACATGGGTTGAACCGCTGTTTTTAGAAACATATGGCATTGCGGTTGGGCTTCCAACACGTTGTTCCATATTTTTAGTTAGTTTTCTTAATCCGTTAAATTTGATTGGCGTTCATACTGTCCCACAAAAGGACCACTAACACTGTTACAACCAGATTTAGATGAACCTCGGGTAGGCTAAAGATTCGTTTGTCTTAAGTGTCAAACTGATCTAATTCATCAATGTGGGCCTCGGTTTCTAAGAGAAATTTATGGCACAGTTTAATTTACAAGTAGCTATTTCCATCAAGCAAGCGAGTGAACGCGACACAACAGGCGAGGTTAGTGTGTGACTCGTGTTCAAGTCTGGTTGCTGCCTCCTTTTCTATATTCTCCTAAATCTATCCTTTTGCAAAAAAGGCCAGTAATAAACACTGCATTAGGGATTTACGGAAAAGGGTTGAATGCAATACTTGGTGTCAGTTATACATGTAGGCGTTTCGATTACTCGCTGTTGCCGTCTACACGTGGATAACAATCGTGTGGGTAGTAATTGGCGCATAACAAGTAGAAACAGTTAACTTCACTAGTATGCACAATTGATGGATCCTACTGGTTTTAGGCTTGTGGTTGACTTAAAGGCTTAGTCAAGAAGCAGCTCGTTTGCATTCAAAAATACGGTTCTCTTGTCCTTAAATTTCAATGTAAAATGCAAGTACTCTCACTCACTTGCCAAGATGGTATAGCTGCTTGCAGTCTAATTCACGCGTTAAACTTTATTACGTTCGTTCTGATAAACTTAAACCACTCTGGGAAATTCTATCAGCCAGGTACCTAGGGTCACTGCCTCGTTAATATTCAAAGAGTGAGCGAAATCCACTCCTATTTAGGGTTGGTGTTCTCTTTGTAAACTTCGAGCCACTTTGACTGTGTGCAACTAGCCGCTTTCGTTTACCAAATATTTGACAGAGGTCATTGCATACCAATTAACGATGACTGTTCCGTTGGCCGGATTGACGTAGGTAAACGAAGGCATTTCTGTTTTGGGAACCCAGAGTGTGAAAGGAATTGCATGCTCCCCGGTTCCAAGGGTCACCACATCCGTGATAGGGTTGATGGTAGTGATTGATTTTGGAGAACCTACATCCCCAGCCTCAGAGTTGTGGGCATTGTTGTAACCATAGTAACCGCCTCTAGATTGGGTAGTTGCCGTTGGTGCCAAATGGCGAATCCGTTCGATTCCCCGATTTATCTTCAAATTAGTTTTCAACAAATCGCACAGTCGAATAATTAGATCTCAAATAAATGTAAGTTTTCTCTGATAAAAGGTATCTGGTGTTGTGTTCAACTCACCACTTGAATTTTGCCGTTTGTAGATGTAATGTTCATGCTCTTGGCCACAACCAGTGTAATGTTTTGAACCTTTACGGAGTTGTTAAGATCCAGAAAGATCCTTCCATCGATTTCTCGATATGAAGGTATGTTTTCGCCATCCAGCTCAAGGCGTATTATGTCCACAGGAATATTTTGTGCTGTAAGCCGTAAAATTGAGAGATAGCAATTTGGGGCAACTTATTCATTTTCCTCCATAAGCTAAATCGAAGATAATGTCAGCAAACATCTTCTCTATCTCTGCTACTCATTGCTCAGGCACTAAATTAAATCTTGGGTAATCTTGAGATCGAACAAAATTCGGATCATATTTCCACAGGAATATTTTGACGTCCACGAGTCGACTAGTTGTTAATATTTCAATTAAAGCATTTATGACTCAAGGGTAAATTTGTCCGGTTGTGCAATTTAAATATCGTCGTCTCAAACACCTACCCGATGCTGACATGTAATAATCCATGAGTTAAATAAAGCACATACTAAATGGGTCTATGTTTCTAATTGACTTCGTTCTTTGTTAAACCAATCACTGATCACTAACGCCACCATTAGGAATTAGTTTGGCTCACAATTCAGCACCTTATTAGCCTGCAAATATGCCTTTCGTAGTTCTAGTCGTAGTTCTAAATCACAAATGTCCCGCTGTACTGTTTCTAAACTTGATTCTTCAATTTACTAGTAACATTCCCATTTAATCGGCTTTTTTAGAAGGTCAGTCTGATAAATCTGATTTATCTGTTGTGTCAGTTAAGTAATTCGCCCGAAAAGCGGATTAAAAAGAGTTTTCCGTAACGCTGGATCCATTTTCAGCACATTTAACTCTATGTGGAAAGACCTAATTTTGTGCGTGTTTATTCATTCCTGGACCGTAAACCTGTCATAAACTTGGGGTTCAAAATATGATCAACTTAAAGCACTGGCTAAAATAAATAGGTGATTTACCCGTTTAAGAGTAAATAAGTTCGTAAGAATGCTCTTCGTACTCTTAGTCAAAATATGATCGCAACATTATTTCTAGTGAGTTCCTGTATAACGACAACTTTAGATTCCTGCTTGAGTAGGCAAAGTGAGTCATAAAGTAACATGCTGCATCTCCCAGACTCGAGTACTAGGAGTACGAAAGTTGAAGACGTGAAGACACTTGTTTCTTTATTTACTCTTGTGACTGGTAATGTTATTTAAAAAATAGATTATTAAACTGTTGCTTATGTATGATCTAATTTAATTGTGGAAAGTTGAAAACAGTCAATATAACGTACTACTGGTCTCAAGAATATTTATTGTACACAAAGTCTATTTTAAATGCCACTAGTGCTCTACCTGGCCAACAGTGTGAGTCTGTCAAGTGGTAATACATCAGAGACGTTTAAATGAATTAGAACGTTACATTAACTTGTGTTGATGTCACCGAGTGAAACAGGAATGACGGTTAATGGTTGGGTCATATGATCAGCTCTCTACCTCAATTGACTGACTGGAAAGTTGGTTGTCGCAGCAACGCTAACAAAACAAGCTGATAACGAGAACTAGAAAAACCCGACAGATTTGTAAAAATCAGTAAGGATGAGCGAAATGTTTTCCAGTCAGAAAAGCAAAGTACAATTTCTGTTCTCTGCACGTGCAAGTGCTTCTTCGCTGCTCGGCGTTGGCGACGAAAATCAGAGTAGGTGCTTCTTCATTTATGAGGCATCATGGCGCACAACCTTGGCACCTGTGAAGGCCTGCCACTCATGCAGCACCATTTGCATCGCCTTTTGAGACTTTGTGTGTTCGAACATTTGTGTCAATTCTCTAGACCAACTTGTGCACGATTCCAGGCTAGGTAATGCCGAGGGTGTAGATGCGGCCATCGTCTGCGTGTCAAACCAAGGTCAGATCGTAATCATAAAGACATCTATTTGATTAAACACCTATGCAAATAACTAAGCGAGAGAATAATGGGAGACCGCTTCGAGAGGGATATGATTTTATCGTCCACGAATGTTCTGTTGGTGCTGAATTCGCTCAAAAAACATTTTAGAAGACGTGTATCAAATACGAAATTAGTGATTTAAAGTGAAAATATTTGAGGATACCCGATGTATTAAAAATAATTGAATGATGATGAAAATTTGGACAGCGTTAAAGAGTGAGATCCAAAAAAATCAGAAGTCGACTGGTCACCAAAGGCAATGTTTAAATTTTAGCACACAGACAAAAATAAACTGAATTATTCTTCGCTATAGCCCCTAGGCATCCTGTCTACCCCATAATGTTGCCTATGGTGTTGGTGTTGTTAACATCCTTGATTCTGCAAGTTTCGGTTAATCTAGGCTACCAGTGTATGACGTTAATCTCACTTCAGTGCGATATGCGCACACCGTTTTTATGGACATCATCATAACAGATTAACTAACATGCACTAATTTAAATTTCATCAGAATAAGTACTATTCAAAACAAAAGCGTGTCACAATTTTGGAAACCATGTTTCCCAGCAAGGAACAAGTTTCTGGTGTTCTACTTCAGTACTTACAGCACCGGGGGATATAAACAGGCGATTTGCACTTCAAAAACCAACGTCGTACATTTAACGCTTCCTTATTTGATTCAGTCTTCGTTGTTTCGCAAATTAGGATCAAAAAGCTACCGTTTACTTCACTTTTAACAGTACTTTCACTTAAAAATGCGTCAATGGAAATGAATCTAATTCTTCGAAATGATCTTGAACAAATTTGTTCAATTGTTTCATTTTTTACTTAGTAACGACTTAGACTAACATAAAACGCCGCGAATTGTCCTAGAATCTACACTTTTAGGTTCAGGGTAGGTAATTTAAGCACTTCCTTTCCAATACAAAATGCTGCGTTCTCAAGGCAACTCAGCAAGCAACTCTCTGTCTTGAGTACAATTTTCTTGAAAAAGGTTCAGAATCTTAGTTGTATGAAATACCAGAACCACAGGCCTTCTACCACAAACTAAAATGGGTAGTTATAATTAAATAGCTTACAAACCAACGTCAAAGGGCCTATTAAGGGCAGCACATCGTAATCACCTGTTATGTTGCCTTTGGAGGATGATGGAATGCGATCGCGACATTGTCAGACGGCTGTACTTCCTTCTTCTGGTAACAATAAATTTGTCACACCCAGCGTTTAGTTTGCCAATGCGAAAACGTTTGTTGATATTTTGGGTGCAATAAATTTACTGCTTTGACAATGCCAATGTTGAATTAAATTACCATTCTTCTTACTTTGAACTAGGCAGCAAATATGAAGTGTAGACTTATTTGAACATAACATTCGAAGCCTTTGTAGTTATATCCACCACTTCTTTCCACTCCAAATGCGGTGACAGCTTTCACTTCGCGGAACTGTTTTGGGTCGATGTACACATCCACGTTGGGCAACCAACTATCCAAGGTTCGCGCATGGGAGACAAAGTTGTAGGGAGAATTTTTGAAAGGTTCTTTTTCTACCACCAGTGGGAGGCTTCTAAATCACAATACTAGAATGTAAAGTTAATTTATTTGGAGTCCTCTCTGTGACATGGTTCAGGTGATTGCAAAGAAATAAAAGACAACTTATGTACTTCCCTGGTGATTCTCAGAAGGCGTATTTCTCTTTGACCAACTCGAGAATTTCGAGTGTAAATATTTTATGATTCTACAGAATTAATTTGCAACTTGATGCGGACACCAGAGCCCTAACATTTAAGCAGCCACCCTCCTTGTATGACACAAGTTTACTAAAAACATGACGCTGAAAACCATTCATTATAGTTACTCCTAACTACCATCACCGAAAAGGTCATTTCAACGGTATAAAGTGGAGCTGAGATCAAAACTGTATATTCGCATCGAAATAATCGATTTTAATTATATACAACACCTGGGTCACAGCATTGGACCCCCTGGGACTCGAAATTAATGGGATTTTCGAATTTTGCTAATTCGAATCCGTGTACTTTAACTGGAAGGATATACGTCACCGAAAATGATGGGGTCAGTACTGGGTTAGCCGATTTTTGATTCCGACCTTTGGGGTTTACACCTAGACTGATGAAGGTTTTTATGAAAGCGTTTTAATCCCTCATGAGTATTTTAAATGCACTGTAGGCGAATCCTACGAATAACTTCATTAGTGGAAAAGAGTGTTGCTTTTTGTATGCATCACCTTCTAATCCTGCAGCTCAGATAACGGCCCTCAAAACCCGAGTCAAGTACCTACACAATTTCTAGCTTATTTTCAAGGAAAATGCATGATTCCCACATTTTATTACTCCATATGTAGTTCACAACTCGCACTGCTAATCACACCAACAAGGCACCGGGGCCATGCTTTTTTCGGAATCTCATGCTTCGGCCGGTACGTGGGATGCATCACTTCAAATACCCAAGCCGACAGTGCAGACTTTGGCCTATGGATACCGCCTCAGTCCAAACCATGACGTCGGCTTTCATCGTGATGACGTTTATGTTGCCAAACCCCACAGATCTAAAATCACACTGTACGTCCGAAATTTAACATAAACAGAAGTGAATTGCTAAACCTTCTGTGTACAACTTACTATCCTACCCACAGACACTGTGGTTTGACTTGACAGTGTATTGAATCGAGTTGACTCACGTCCATTAACCCGGTCGTCGGACACTCAGGTTTGTCGCCTGCCCTTTCCACGGCATTCCTATCGACCATGCAGAACCGCCGGTTAATACATTCCCTGGGCATTTATCACTTCCGCTACTCATTCCATTCATTTGGCCTTTCGGCCACCCAGACAGTACTGATCAACAAGCCTTATTAGTCAGACACGACAAATAGGCTGAGCCGTCTAGGAAACGGTTGCCCCCGCCAGGTCCAATCGTCGTAATCTTTTCGGGTAAGTAATTCGGCCTAGTACAATGCGGTGGCCCTGATCTATTTCGAGACCACGTACTAGGGCCTTTACAACACTTGCGAAGCCTCATTTTTAAATCCTGTTGTTGCTCTTCGACCATAAGACAAAAGAATTAGTGTTAATTATTCCATACTATCAATTATCTTCCGCGTCTCCATAACAACCCCCGGGCCCCCAAGAAGCCACTTTAACGATGAAATTTAAATTTCCAGATGACCTATTCCACCTATGGATATTGAACCGGTAGATCCACGACTAACAGTCCACCTTGACGTTATGACGGCAGTACATGAATCCCTGTGTACTCGCAGAAACACGAAGTCTTAACAACGGTGGCTGGCGACATTTTGATGGGCAAATTGCAGCTTATAATCAGCAACTTCCCATATTAATTGAGGCACCACGATTATGGAGGTTAAGAGGCCGAGGAGGTTCAATCGGTAACTTAATCCAACCCAAACAAACCCGGATCCATTCTCGAAATCGATCAGCAGAAACCAGTTGCTGTCACCCCTTTTATACTTTGATATAATAGGGCAGATGCTTACACCTCCGCCTTGCGAACCACACAAATGAAAACCGGCCTGCCCATGACACTCCAGCTTTCCTTGTTTAGAAATATTTTCAAGTTCAAACGGTGTTAGTCGGGGTAGACCTACTTCATCACGTTGGGGTGATGAATGTTTAAATGTCCCGATAGCTACTAAATTTCAAAGACACCAGATCCGGTTGAATGAACCATGTCATTTGTATGTCCCTCCACATCCACTAGTGACGTGATAAAATACAGGTGATAAATATGAGATAGATTAGGACGGAAACAACGGGACCATGCGCACAGGGGTTGCGCACCCGAGAATGTCTTGAACATCAGCACCAGGCTTTTCTTTTTTTTACAGAGAAAAGGGATTCCCGTTTGTTTATGTACAAGGATGAAAAATAAGCACAAGAGAGGGAGTCCCCGGAGCTCGTTTAATGCTTGTCCTCATTGATGTCCGCTGGAAGAGTCTACCGAAGAGGAAGTTGACGAGCTGGTGCTTTCATCGACATCGGCCTCAGGACTACTGTCAGCAACCTGAATGTCTCGGGGAGCGTTCGAGACGTTCCCATTGGCTGAACGAGAAGATACACCCGACGAGGCGTAAGTCACTGCACTGGCGTACTTCTTCGTCCATAGTTTCGCCGTTCTGTCATGCTCCACGCGATTGTTTACATACTGACTAGCAATGGAACCCACAAGAGGGTCAGCTGGGTTGCAATCAGTCAGAAGGGAACAAATTGACAGCAACAACTTGCTAATAGTCAAAGCTGGTGACCAATTATGCTAAAAATGAATAATCGGAAAAATTTTAATATTAACCAAGGAAAAGGTTCGACGCAAAAAAGCCCAGCTGGAACAGGAAAATTGGAAATAATTGCAAATAAACAAATACGATTGCTCAGACAAACCCAAAATAATGGTAATTAATTCAAGTGTATCAAGGGTTTCAGAACCAATTGAAACGCAAAAAATCTGAGTAATCAAACCACCGTGCCAAGGGCACTGAGTAGAACAGGGTAAAGAAGGGAAATTCGAAGGATATCCCACCCCAGATTACTAGCGTAAACTAGCCGGTGTGCACATACGCTACCAAATATCGTAGTTGTTAAAATAATCAAGTTTTGTGCAAAGCCATCCATTTCCAACTTTCCCGTGCAGCCATAGAAGTGGGAATTAGTAATAAAAACAGTTGGACCCGGGCAAACTATTGAAAAAAACAGCCAAGAGCCAATATACTAGGTGAGTTCGACATAGAATAAGAGAGAACCGTCAACAAGACCACCTAACTTGGTAGGAGGTGATTAACGTGTATTTCTGCCAAAATATATGTCTCTTAGAATACTCATGAAGTAGTACAATGTCTGTAATCAAAAAACCAAAGTGCCAAATAATACGCAATGCTTTTTAAGCAAGAAAACGTTCTCAAACAAAATCACAGCTATAACTGCGGGCGACTACTAGTCGACACGTAAAACCCGTGTGGAGTAAGTTAAGAGTTTACCTTTAGAATATCCAAGCAAATGACTCCGTGGCTGTTGATGTTGCAATGGTAAATGCGTGTTTTGAAGGTAACCTTAAAAAGTAAGTGAGGAAAGCAATGTCTTACTTTTGGTGGTTTAAATGGGTACTCGAGTGGGAAGTGGATGTCCAGAAAAAAAATGCCACCCTCGTAAACGGAACCAGGGGGGCCAAGAATAGTTGAAATCCATTCATACAGATTGTCTCCACGAGGAAAGGCACTACCAGAAAAACACACGTAAAGACGAATCAAACCCTTACGAGCAGTTTGGAGGGGGGTCATTACTGATCTCTGACAACTCTTTTTGGATCCTAAAAGCAAATAAGTGAGATTAATTAGCAATATACATCCCCCGTCTACGTGCTTTGACTGCAAAAATCACACAATAGTGTGGTCAGATCTAGCAGCATAGAAGAAAAAAACGCTAGTGACAATTTTTATTGGCATAAATGGCATCAATACCAATGATGCCAAAACAAGTAATGCAGAATTAATAAAAACAATAATAACAACAAACTAGTAGTACACGAAGCTAAGCGTATTCAGTTTTTCATGCTCTATGCATAATTCTGCTATGGACGTATAGAAACGCACGAATTTCAACATTGTCATGAGGTTAGATGAGAAAAAGGGAAATTCAGATTAAGGAAAATATCTGGAATCTTAAAATTACTAGCAGAAAAAATAGTGTTGGGGAAACTTTTGGCCTGATATCCGTCATGATAGAATGTAGTGTTCCATCAGTAAATCAGTCATGGTCGTATTCGAGACCCATGGATAACAAGCTTTCAATTGAGGCCTTGGGATTTAGGCAGGTCCAACAAAATAAAACCAAAAATCGACATTGAAATTATACCAGTATCTTTTCACCACAAGTCGTGAGTGATCGAGAGAACAGTAATCATGTTTATTATAATCCAGATCGAGCAAAAGCACAGTGTAGAGGTGACCATCATTTCGATTTCCGTTTAAATAGAGTCAATAAAGTGATCGAAAACCATTAGACGGACAATTATTCAAAGAAGGTGCAATACGACCTGTGCAAAAATGACCACAATCATGCACAAACGCAAAAGGAATCTGCAGAATATCACGAATGAAAGAACACGTTGCAAAGTGAAATAAATAAGTGAGTTCAACCGCATAACAAAGCATTAAATAATAAGCACAAAATCCAAATTTATGACGACAATGAACCGCTTCAAATATGAGTTTACGGAGGTATTTGATCAATGAAAACCACTAACCTTTTCAGGCTTGTAGTCATGGATTTGGTTTTCATTATCGCAGCAGCAGAAGATCTGTGAGAAATCTCACTGTTAGAAGATGAGCTATCCGTAACGTCCCCATTAAACGCTTGTGCATGCGATCGTTTACTAGGGGTGCGCATGCTTTGCCGTCGAGACATAACTGACGGCCAACCCCCAGAGGATTTAAGAGAGGCCCGCCAAGATAATATTACGAAACCTCGATCTTTCATCTTGATCGGCTTAAACAAATGAGTCGGACATTACTGAATATGTGGTCAATTAAAGTATATTAATAACATTTAAAAGATCAAATGAAGGTCTTTATCAATGGAAATTGAAATGACATAGCAACTTTCAGCAATGATTTGTATTCTTGAAAGTTGCAATCACAAAATGTAGGCTTGCGTCAAGCTTTTGATTTGTGGTATATGCTTTACAATTAATTACATCTCCTTTCATCGACCAAGGAATTTCATCTAACTTTGTTAATTCGAAAGTTTGTTAAAAGATCTAAAAGTGAACAAACGTTAATCGAATTACCAACAAAATATCGTAGTAACTAGAATCCGATTGCACATATACAATTACCTGAACAATGTTTTGACATAAGAGTAATGTTAACTGATGTGGAGTTTTCTAAAGTGAATTGTTTTTCTAAACCCTGACTAGATGTCTGCTTTTGTAGTAAGGTATTTTTACGCGCTTTCGTATATTGGTATTTTTAATTCATTTAGATAGCACGAATCGTGCACTTTTTTTTATTATTTATGGTTATGACAACTTTTGGTGAAAAAGTGGGAACGAAATTTCTTACTTGTGAAGATGCATCATACTCTTAATCGTACTTTCATATGTGGTTAGTAATTAAAACCGGCTACTCAACATAACGGAAATTATAAATTATGATCAAATCACCTGACACAGAAATTTGTTTATTTTGCGTTCACTTTCTTAACCCCGGGTAGCTGCAGAGAGTTGCCAGACATTATAAAGTGATTGAGTTTATGAAAACACTGCTTAGACATGATTGCAAAGTAAATGTCTAACAAATACTAGTAAAAGGTTAAGCCGAGTTCTCAGCTTCCTTCGATTGTCTCCACGTAGCATGTAAATTGTACTTTTAATTCGTTTAAAACATAGTCACTGAAATACCGGATATTTCTAAAATACCTATTGTGACGCGCGCCATTCGACCCACGCACGCCGGTCTGGCCTGTTCTTTGTCCTCCTCTCCCTTCCCGCACTCTCGCCTTCCTCAAGGCACGCCCGTGAGTCCGAGGGCAACGCCAACCCTCCTCGCGGCCATCCCTTTCCCCACTCCAACTCTCCCAAAGCTCTTGCCCTCTGAGTTTGTATGCGGTAGTATGAAATACATCCGGTTCTTCCAGTTATTCTTCTATCGTATGCCCGGTAGCTAACCATGATGGTGTGGCTATCTAAGAGGGACGGGCTAACGGTCATCGCCCTATTTAGGTCCCCGCTCGGTAGGCACGTTACACTATAGCAATCTTCTGATTCCATCAGTAGTTTAAAACCCCCAAACGCTTGCTTCGACTTCGCATCTGCGTAATTTCTGAAGCCATGGGAGTATACTAACACTTTACTTAAGTCAAGTATACTATAAAATAATCAGTCGAGCCATTTTGATGTAGTTGCCTTCATTTTCCTTAAACATACGCACGTGCAAAGTTCTGCAGCTGCACAATTGCCTCAATTACGGAAGTTCGCGAATCGATTTTGAGCTATACCCAAACTAAATCTGATCAATATATTTTGCAATGTGTTTGTATATAACATACCTTTCTGGTGAGAATTAATATAGATATCACGAGAACTGCTTTTATTAAAAAATCGTGGCCCATAACGTCGATGGAATATGAAGCGTTACAAAACTTGGGATAATATACAGTGAAAGAAAAACGCGCCACAAAAAATAACAAGATATTACACAAATGCGACTACGTATGCGCTCAGAAGACGTAAACTATCCAGAGAAGTTCCATATACATACAAGGTTGTTGTCCGTCACCGCAACCAGAAATACTCCATCTGAACTTATGTCAGTAGCATTAACAACGGGGTTCTTGAAACCGGAGTTAATGCTCTCTTTCACCTGCGGGTCCTCCTCCCGATTTCCGCCTACACTGCATTCCGGCCATTCGAGAATCTTAATAAAAAACAATACCTTAAATTACCCCCAACCGCATGTTGTGGGTCAAATAAAGTGATTGTTGTAAGGAAAATTAAAAGGCTTTGTTTGGAAAAAGAGAGCGGAATTTTTCACCTTTACAGGCTTGACTTTGAACTTCTTGGCAGTCTGCTCATTTATGACATGCTCCTGAAGATCGTAAAGCCAAATAGTGCCTTCATTATCACCGCAGATAACAGCTCCAAGGCCTGGCCGAGCGGTCACATTGATGTAAATCTCCTCGGTCGTCTGCCAACGCAGCTGGCCCAAAATATCCGCAGTTATTACCTTTCTGGAGGTGGACGCAAGTTTCCGTTTTAGCAGAATCTAAAATGCAGACAATAAAAACCCGGAAAAATAGTTGGCTATGAGGTCTAGCTGTAAATATTCGTGATCTTTTTGACTAGATTAAAGTGCAACCACGCATCATCGTTCGCACTCACGAATGCGCAAACTTAGCGAAATCGCTTTAGTCAAATTGCGCTAATGTGCTCGCTTAGAGCGTCAAACGAAACTGTCAGAGCAGTGTAGTATGATTAGTTGTGTTCGAGGGCAAGCGATTTCGCCTTGAAATAGGGTTCGCGGCTTTCGCAGAAGACATTTACCTGTGAGAAGTCAAATACGTAGAGTTCACCTTCCTCGACACACTTTACCACGACGAGATTTTCGGACAATCGGGCCAGGCCATCGAAGCAGGGTTCGCGACGAGTCGGCACCTTGATCTCCATAGTTGGCATTCTATTTGCAAGGAGGTATAAAAGCTTGATAAAAGACTTTCAGAAAAGTTACTACGCATCGACAAGTTCATTTCAAATGTCGTAGTCTGGTGGATATTTACATTAGAAAGCTTTAGAAATAAAGAGACGACCAAAAAGTACGTGGAGAAAAATGTACACACCTCTCTTCTGAGACCTTCTGTTTCTTAAAGTCTTGAATGGTCCATGCGAAGACGCCATCTTCACAGCCAGCCAGGAGGGTATCGTAGTTTGGCATGAAGATGAGATTAAGCACGGGATTCAGGTGGGCCCTGGGACAAACTAGGCGCATCAAAAGGGAGTGCTTCGTCCTGTATTCCGGTGCTGAAGGCACGCCAATATCCCAAACGTAGATATACGCCTGAAAAAAAATTAGACTAATCGTGATGAAGACAGGTGGAAAATCCAGCTGGTAGCAGACTTCAAACCTAGGATTTGAATGACACAAGCATAGACGACTACATACACATATTTCTTAAAAAAAGCCCGAAGAGCTTCCGGCGGCGATGTTCCGTGCAAGCTAATTTAGGGGAAAATAAGTCGTTGTACGTTGAAATGGAACATCTTACCTTAGAGTCTCCAGAGAAGAGAATTGTGGGTTTGTTGGGATGGAACACCATGCAGGCAATTTCTTCCTTGTGGCCCTTCATCTCCGCGTAGCAAACCAACTGTTCGGGATGAAGCAAACGAATCTCCTTCAACTTTCCCGCAGCTGCAAGCAGATTGGTATGGTGCCCCGTTGACATCTCAACTGTGGTCCACGCAACCGCATAGAACTCCTACAGGGCCGAACAAGCGATTGTAAAGGCTCACACCACACAGTTCAGTGTCTTTTTGGAAAGCTTTCAACCAATCAACGCGGGAATACGACAATTCATACATTCAGGACACAGAGCGAACAATGACGTCACTAGTGTGCTACCACAACCACATAAAGGAAAAGCATCGGTCCTTATCCAGAGGCACCTCGAAGGTGTGGATATTTTAAGAGTTAGAAAAAACGGCTTACTTCTCCGACGTGCTTGAATCGTTTAAGAACTTTCCCCGTCTGGCAATCGATGAGGCAAACGCATTCTCCGCCACAGGTAGCGACCACAGATGTTGAGCTTTTGGGCTGCAGGGGATTCGGCTCAAAGGCGCAACGCCAAACTTTGGTGGAACAGTCCAGGGGGTCGTTGTCCCTCGCGTGACAACGAATAAAGTGCAGAGGGTCATAGTCAACTACCTAGAAAGAGCAAGTCTGACATGGGAACGTAGCCGAAGAGCAGAGAGATAGGACAAACCAGCAAAGCTAATTCAATGCTTTAAAACCTACACCGGCTGTGCTATTTCCAGGCCCCGAATCTCGTTTGCAAGTAATAATGTGTGCAAGTTGCGAAACGTAAACCATAAAATGTAAGAAAAGCCCATCTCAAGTTAATATGCTCAAGATAAGCAACAGAGGGCGAAAATGCTAGGAAGGTACATAGTTAACTCGAATGAATTCAACCAAATGGAAATGGAAGTGTGTATATTCGGGAGCTAATCATAATATGCGCGTGAAGGCAGTATCCATTCTACTTAGGAAATCAGAGAAGAACCTTGATATTTCGTCAGCTACCATTAACCAATATAGTAATTTTGCGACCAAAGAACACAACCAAATACGATTTAGGCGGTACATGTCGAGCAGCGACCTCTCGTGAGCAAATTATCAGTCTCCGACCGTATTCTTAGCGGCGAGTTTAAAATTTAGGTAAAGCATCGCACCTCTCCAAGTTGAACGAGACTGGGCACAGGAGGTACGCTGTCCGCACTAATGGAGATGTCGATAAGTTGTCGAATTAGTGCCTCATCTTCAAAGTTCTTTGGAGGAAGAGTCTGAACGATCTCGGGTTCCATCGAGGTCGAGGGGACAGGAGCTTGTGCAACAGGCTGAGGGGTGGCGCCCTTTGATTTGCCTGTCAGGGTGGCTCTTTTTGTCCTTTTAGGGGGCGTTGGTTCTGCGGGAGCTGCATCCTCTACTCCATCGGAACGAAGAACACCTTCAGCCTCCTCGGCGGCAGCGACGTAACCTAGAGGGAAAATGAGTCACTGAAACAAATCTATTGAAGATAAGGAGAAAGATAGAGACGTGCTACACCTTGAGATTTTTTAACACGCGCACACCCTTATCAAAATAAAAGCCACCCATATTTAATGTACAAATGCACATGAGTTTTGACCTTTAAAAAACATTCTTAGCTTCATTTTCATATCATGCGCTGTAGTTTGCGTGCTATTTGATTCTTATCCATTCCCAACTTTGAACTACATGACTAAGCAACCAGCAGAGGCGATTACAAAGATACGCGCTGCTACAGAAAGCAAAGTGCATTCGTTAACAGGAGCAAATAAGTGGACAGTAAAAGTACAGGGCGTAAAAATGCTCTTAAAACAAAGGAAAAATGTGCATTATGGTAAAAATGACGCAACTCGTAACGTTACCTTTCACTCCCTCCAACTCAACACTTTCTTTTCTCAAAGCGCTTTCCGCGCCTTCTAGAGCGAGTCCTCCTTCTCCCTCATCGTCTGCCTGGGCAAAGGCGGCTGCCATGAGAGCCTCCTGCTGGCCGGCCAGAGCCGCGGCCGTGTCGATGGCGCCGTAAGCGGAGAAGCGCTTCATGCGATTGGAGTCGCGGGTGGACATGCGCAAGGTGGCAGGCGGTGGAGCGTGAGGCGGGGGAATCTTGACGTTTTGAAGAATCGCCGCCGTCTCCTGCTCCTCCTGTTCAGCGAGGGCTCTGCAAAACACGGACTGAGATGACACGGTGTGATTTTGAAACCGATTTCATGTACTTGGAGTAAACGCTGACTTTTTCTGTGAATGTGCGGTTGGTGGTCGGCCTCGCTTGCCTGGCTGCCAGTGGCCGGGGGTTTTTACGGGCTTCTCCACAACCGCTTCTTCTTGTTCATCCAAATCACCGTAACCCATGGACTCCTGAAGTGACATCTCGGTTGGGTATTCATCTTCCTGTTCGATGTGTCGTCGAGCTACAGCAGAAGAGCGTTTAGTCGCTGTGGTGCCACTGGCTCTCGCAGCAACCAACAAACCGGGTCGACGTGAACCCAGGACTGCACCACCCGAGGGAACAGTACGGGTTCCACCCACAGTTGTGCGACGGTGAGTTGGATGTTTAGCGGTTGCCGCAGCTGGTGGGGCATTATTCTCGGAATCACTCATTTCTTGGCTATCTGTAAAGATATAATGATTGTATTCACTTAAACAGAAAATGCATGCCATAGTTCGCGATAAGCGAGGAAAAGGTTTAACTACACAGGTCTCCTGAAGCCATTACGACTGCAATTTAGGTTAAAACATTTTTTTACTTGACAGATTTTAAATTTACCCTCGTGTTGCTTTGAAGAGTCTGCGCCATTTGCCATACTACCTCCAACAACAGGAATTATGAGGTCCCCGTTGGGTTGACGTGCAGCGGTGCGGATAACCGAGTAGACCACGGTCTTGCCATGCTGCATTGCAGTTCCAATAATGCCCGACAGTCGGTCCAATGGTTCGTCAGGCAGGAGAGTCATGTTGTGCGCAGCGGCGACGGCCTCGCGTTCGGCCTCTACGGCTTTTCGCTGGTCCTTTTTTTCACCATCTACTGCTTCCGTCTCTGACGAGTCATTCGTAACGTCCATCGCTTTGTTACTGGTCTCCTCTGAGGCCACGGCAGTGGGACTTTCGTCAGTAGTGGAAGCCGCTGTGACAGTAGCTGTTGCTGCAGTTTCAAGAGTCTCGGTGTCACCTCGAATAGAGGAATCACCGACCCCAGTTACAGCGTGCTCGTCCTCATCTTCATCATCTACCACCTTCGGTGCGAGGAACTCTTCTGCTATACGACGGGCCTGCAACAAACAGCAGTGTTGGCTGCACATTCTAGATCGACACAGAATACGACAAACAATGGCACCACACGTGCAGGGATCAAAACGCAAATGTCACTTCCTACATACCATGTGTTACAGGCATTAATCTATTACAAATATGTTTAGCAGAGAAGCACTGTTGGAGTCGGTAATCACATGTCTTCGCCTACCAGTAAACAACTATCAAGGACATTGCCAGCGAGGAATAGATGTTAACTAAAGCGTAAGCAACGGAAGTAACAAAAAATAAAAGCTTCTTATTATATGAAAACGTAAAGTGGAACTAAAAGTTTGCAAGATCTAGTGAGCAATCACAGAGAGTAATGGGCCTTGGAATTTTGCGCATTTTAAAACCGATTGATTCCGTTAAAAAATTACCAGAACCGCTTTGCAGTGCTTGAAAGGCTCGTCCACTGTGAGACTCTGATTGACAGCGTGTGAGACGAGGGTTTCAATGACACGAATGAGGTCACGACACGGAACGCTTTTTTTGAAGAATTCGACCAAATCATCCTCCCACTTTGAATGAATCTGCAAATAACGGGTAAAAATGCGGTTTGTTAAAGCATTATGAACAGGCAAAATTAGTTTGCTGTATTAATCCCATTAACGAAGCCTACACACACAGGTGCAAAAGCGCACAATGTGTCCGATTTGGAACTGTGCGGTAACTGTCGCCATGTATCGCGATCAAACCGTCACGATGTACCCACGTGAGGAATCGCTTTTTGTGGTAAGCCAACAAAACGAGAACAAAGAACTCAGCCGACACTTAGTCATCACGTCAAGTTTGGCCATAATGTGAAGGCTGTACAAGCATGAATTCCCAACAGAAAGTGGACTCATAACACCGCAACGTCTGTGGGAGACTGGCCAAGAAATGGCGCAAACTTGGGCCAGCTGGGGATTATCCTGTTTTGGTTTAGCATAGCTAAAACCAAAATTTGAAGGTGCTTTTTCAGTGGATAGAAAGCGATAAAAAAGCTGTGAACGAACCAGTGCAGCCAACTCTTGTTTTGCTGCTTGGGCGGCCTTGATTGTTTCTTCAGTGGGTTCAACTTTAAAGTCCTCACCGTTGATGGAGACCAAGTGAGGGCAAAGATAAGCCAGAGATTGTAATTTCAGCATCTAAAATGAGGCAACCAAATAATTTAACTAATATTAATATGAGTGCCCAAGTCTGTTAGAGGCTAGAAAGGATCATCAATGAGCAGCGAAAAAAGTTCCAGTGTGTCCAGGCATGAACATGACATTATTCGATGAGAATGTGTTGGTTAATGTGTTCCCTTAACCGAAACGGAGGTAATTTTAATTTTTTTAATCACTAACCTCCTTTAACTCAGGATCCAACTCAACATAGGAGAGCCTGGGAAACTGCTCAATCGGCGGTGGCCCATCTTCCTTGGCAGAGCGGGTCAACAGCGGGTTCTTGCTGATGTTCAGCCGTCTCAGTTTAGGCAAGTGTAAACACCGGGGCAGTGCATGCAGATTATTGTTGGAAAGGTTTAATTCTACCAAGTTGACGCATTGGTTAAGGCAAATTGGCATTATTCCCGTAAAAGAGCAGTCGGGAAGGCTACAAGGAAAAAAGAGTTGCGGGAGTGAATTTTCGGGTGCCTGCTACACAACGGATTAGGGGGTTGTTAATCTAAGCGTTGAGATTCCAAAAAAAACTCGATTCTGGTCTTTCATTGGCTTCCACTTACATAATCACTTGACAGTTGTTAACTAAGGAGCTAAGTATATGCGACAGTTACTCCAGGAAAAATATAAGTAAACTTAGATGTATGAAATATGGGCAACAGCTTTTCCAAGCCATCTCACAGTTGTTTAAAGCTGAACTAAGACCTTTGTATGCATAACAGTGGCATTTGACTGCAGGGTGCACCCCTGTGCATGGTCTATTTGACAGCCTTCAGTAACTCACTGATAGAAAGTGTGATTGTTGGGTTTTTTCCACTTCTGACCGGGCGTACGCATCGAACACTAAAATTTCCCAAGCGTTTTCCCAGTGAAGCTGTCTAAGCACCCCTACATACACACAACTTTTGAGGCCTGAGCTTGCCTCATAATAATGATTCAATTTCGAGGTACTTTAAAGAACATAATAACCAAAATCGTCCTTTCCCTGCCAGAGGCTTTCTAATGGAATAGTCACGTATTGTGCCCAAAGATTTTAGACATTGACAGACAAATCTTTATAGTGAGAGGCAAATACAAATCTCGGGGACTACTGGAAGACTCCTCAAAGCATTGACTCTAGTGACTCAAATCGTTTGTATTTTCAAGGCTTTAGGAGGCGGTAGCTAATGAACTCGACTTGTACAACTAAGAATCCAACTTTCACATAAAACATTGAGATGCAACTCACGATAGTATGCGAACTTTCTTCAGTGTGTCGGTTCCAGTAGCCGCGTAAATGGCAACATCATCTAGGATGTTATGCTCTTCACAAGAAAGATCCAATGAAGCACAAGTATCTGTAATTAAGCAGGCCCTTCATAACAAAATTGAACGACATTTCAATTAACCAAAAGGATAAGTTCACTTGCCGTCAGCAGAGCTCAAGTCCGATACATCGTTCAAATCCAAACGTTCAAGTGGATCGTGAAGCAACTGTTCCGCGGACGAAAGATCTAGCTCCATAACCTGATCTACAGAATAGAACCTAAGGATCGAAAAGTAGTTTAATTTAAAAAGAAGAATGGCTATGAACAAGCTAGTTTAAATTAGCAACGTACCCTCTATCAAGACTAGGGGCATGAGTAAACTGACAACCAGAATTGCGAACTACTTTGCGCGCCAACTCAACAAGTTCTCTTCGGCGTGTAAGGAGTGCAGGTTGCCCTGCGGCAAGATAAGCAGCGGCTTCATTACAAGCAGTCTCATACGGTGTAAGAATTGGGGGTGACCTAGCTGCAGGTGTCAGTTGTGCACCTCCTGCATAGGCTGGGCCTCCCAAACCTGGCGACGGGCCACTAACAGATTGAAGTGAGACTCTTCCATAGAGTGCAGAAATTTCCCGCACTGAATCTACACGGGTGGCATCATTGACCAGCAAATTGGCGACAGCGTGAGGGTCAGTAGTTCCGATAGCCGATTCCGAACGCAGTGCTATCAGTTCCATTGCTCGATCCCAGGAAGCGCGCTCGATGTTTGTGCAATCAGACTTAGGCTTCACTTCTAGGGGGGTCGGAATATCAGTAAGGGCGTTCACTGCAGCCAACCGAAGAGCCTCCGTCTCAGAAGCCGATAGCTTGTACGTGAGGTCTCGTTTTACCATTGGCATACTGGGCAAGTAGTGCTGGAGGGCACTGTTACCAATTGGCTGTTTACCTCTAGCGGGTTGCCCAATTAGTGTGGTACCATCACCCGCAGCGTCCTTAGCTGTGTAGGCAAGAACCACTCCGCCTTCTGATGAAATTGGCACTAAGTTTGCCGCGTTGACCGCGGTTCCAACCTGTGACATGACAACAGCTGTACTCACTGGAACGTGGCCTGGCTGGATGGCGGTCAAGCCCCGTGATTCAAGTATTGCCAATTGGTTGGTTGCAACCTGCCCGCTTACGGCAGCGCTTTCGGGTTGCTGATGTGCCTGAAGTGATTGGGATTGTTGTTGAAGTTGATGAGGTTGGTAACTAGCCTGTGCAACTTTAATTTCTTGCGAACAAGCTTCGGCCACACTCTGCGCTAGTTGGTAAAGCTCCCGTTTGTGAAATAGCAAGCCTGGCTTAAAACGGCAAAGTTGCGAGGCAACTTCGTTGATAACCATCTCGTGAACAGTGAGTGGACGAGCCTGCGGGCTAGAACGGTAAATCTTCGCATGACCCCGAAGAACTTCATAGCGTTCAAGGGTTTCACCCTGACTTGCCCCGACTACGTACGACTTTGCGATCTCAACCATTTCTTGATAAGCGGAATATGGTCCCAATTTTCGCTGATAGGGTTCAGAAACTGCGCCTGAAATGGAAAGCTCAGGTCGATTTGCGAGTCGCTCATTGACAATTGCCTCAGCATGGCGGCGAAGCGTTGTGTAGAGCTCATGAGAAAGGCCGGGGGGACACCAGTCAGCAGCAGTCAGACCAGCCTCACTTTCCTCTCCGGCCGCCTCGTCTTGTGTTACAACAAGCACCGTCTGAACCGGTTCGCCAGTGTCAGAGGAACCCAGAAAAACGTAATCTAAGGACTGTCCATTGAGTTCAATGATCACATGGTCTCCAGTGTTTCCCTGTTTCCGATCAATTAAATTTCCTTTATCATCTTCCAGGACAACTGTCTGGATGGCTTTTCCATCGAAAACTGTTGTTGTTTCTGTGAGCGTATACTGTTGACCTGCAGGGATATCTCCATCAGTTTGCCTACCATCCTAGAAGAAAATGCAGTTAGTACAAAAAATTCATTGGGGATAAGTAAAACTAGGTTGTCAAGAAATGTACCTCGCTAACTGACCACTGAGCCTGAGAGGTACTATTGGATGTTGCAGTGGCAGTGGCCTCCGCAGCAGCCTGTTCTTCCGCACTCTCCATTGACAGTAGTAATGTTGACTAGAAAAGGGGAAAGGTACATAATAAACGAATAAAATGGGTGTAACCAAATGTATGATTTTATGTACCGTAAGCGGTTCGCCCGTCTCAGTAGGACCACGAATCTCGTAAGTAAAGACTTGACCATGAAGCTCCATAAGGACCTGTGTGCCTATTTGGCCATGTTTCTGGTCGATGATATTTCCATTTGAATCGAGGAGAGAGACCATTTGTACAGGCCGACCATCTGATAGGGCAGTTTGTTCGCTGATAGTGAACTGCTCCAACCCTTCATCAGTTGCAGACGCGGCGACGGGTGCAACAGAAGCCATCTCAACATCCTGATTAACTGACACAGAATTCGGTGTTTCAGAAACATGATCAGAAGATGAAACTGTAGTTCCCTCGTCAGAGGGCTTGTCAGCCAATGTTGCAATTTTAGACTGAGGTGTGGCAGTGATTTCGCTAGTTGGCTTTGAAATGTCCTCTGACTGCTGATCTACTGGGTCAGACTGGCCAACGTCGGTTGAAGCAGGAGCTTCCTAAAGATGGAATATTCCCGATTTACTTTAATGAGCACGATTTTTGTGCAAGTAGTTCTTCGACTTTTCAAAGTAAACGCATAGTAAAAAATAAAAACGAGAAAAAAACATTCATTGATAATTCGGAACAACTGTTGACTTACCTGTGTGGCAAGGGAATGCTGATCAATGGGAACGAGGGTAAGAACCTGTTTTCCTTCTTCATCGACGAAGTTCTGTAAAGTCGCCTCACCGTTCATGATCTTTTTCGCATCCTCTAAGGAAACTAGCGCATAACCCGACGACTCGGTGTTCTCGTCCATAAACAGCAATTTGACAAGTTCCTGGCCACTTTCATCTGTAACTATTTCAAAGCCTTGAGAAGCAAGTTCATCAGCCATCGAAATTGATCAACGAAGGAATTTGATATTTAGAGGGAAGCAGCAAATACAAACAGCCCTAACTAATAGGGGAGATGAAAACACGGGATTATATTTAGTGATTTAAAACAAAATAAAGAGAATTGGTTATACAGTGTAAGTCGTGAGATAGGCTAACCGACAAAGCACACCCAGTTTTAAAAATGAAATTAAAGCCATCTTCTAAAATTTTGAAAGGAATACTGGTAACTTTAAAAGGGAAAAGTCGATAAGAATGTGAAGGTGCATTATTTTAAAGTGGTGGATTTAAACACAATTTCGATTTGATTTTCAAACATATAACCGATAAACAAAAGTTGAAAAAAAAATATTTTTTTAACTTTTGCGTTGTTTCTAGTAGCCCATTTTATTGTTGTCTTCATAAAAACGATTAAATGACCTTTATTTTATTTTAAAATATATTGATATCTTAACCAGTTTGCTATAAATAATCATATTTTGAATTTTGCTCTTTTTATTTTTGGTACACTTACATCTAAATCTTTAACAATAAATTTGATTTCGGCACTTTATACAGCGAAAAAATAGGCTCGCAAAGGGCACCTGTGTGCAATCTACTAAAACAGCTTTATTTTGAAGTTTTCAGACACATTACATGCGTTTAACCATTTTTAATTTTTCTAAAATTAGTTAAAGCCATGAAAGTGACACCAAATAGTTTATCAGGTTAGCCACTGGGTTTAAATATTGATTGTTTTATCCATCTACGCAACTGTCAATTGGTATACTATTGTTTCACACAAAAAACTTACGTTTGTCCACACAGGTTTTGCGACTTTTTTGTCAAGATATTTGAAAGGGTAACCATGGGTATTATTAAATGTGATGATTAATCGTCGATGGAAGATAATTCTGGGAAATCAAGCTAATGGAATCATGAACTGATTTGAGGTCGAGTCAGTCCTTGTGGTTGTCGGTGCTGGAGAGTGGGATAAATTTATGGTTAGCAACTAGAGATATGAGTCTAATGGCTGAAGGGCTCTCGGTTTCACCCAATTTAGATTTGTATATTGTCAACTAATGGATCTCAGACGACTGAACATGATCGAAAAATGAGCTGCCATTTTTGATTGTGACCCAAGTGAGGTTCTTTCTCACGTCCAGGCCTTTAGTATTCGTGGTCTTACTGAGCGAAATCTGGTAGTTTTTGTTAATGGTTTAATTTTATTGTTTATTACTTTTTTTACTGTGTTCTTTTTCATCGGAAAAACTGTAAGGTAAAATTTTTGGACTTACTTATTTTTCCCTATTTTTAGACTTTCCTTTAATATTAATACAGTTGCATAAAAAAATAATAACATGCAAGTTTCCCGATGAACGTTGAATGGAAGCTCCGTCCCCTTCAATGGTAAAATTTATTCTGTTATTGGCTAAACCACCGAGTTTAATCTTGTTTAGTTTAGCATCACTCAAGAAGAACTTGCAAAGTCTCGATGTACAAATATTATTTCTATAGGGTATCCATTGAAATCTGATTCGTAATGTCAAATGCGTGATTGTCTTTGCAAATCCATTGTAAGAAAAAGCCAGCAGAAAAAAGTCTCATTTTTAAAAATTTTTCTAACACCCCTCACACTACTGCAGTGGAGACGCCAGTTTTCTCATTCTATTTTTTTTCCAAGTATTTAAATAACCCGAATAAGACGTTAAATCGCTTGTACTTCATTGGGGCCCTTATTGACAGTCATGATTTTTACAATCAACAGGACACACTTAAAGCCTAGCAGGCTTGAAACGGTGATGTACATCTTATCGCGCTGCTTTTTCACCGACCTCTCGGATTCAGTAGGTAATCTTTAAATCTTATGAAATCACGTGGTTTACGTAAATGTATTCTATGGAATTTAAGTATTATATTTTTATTTCGATTTATGGCCCCTCCATTTGTGACCTGCTTTTTCGTATGTTCTCAAACTTGAACTATGGTCTCCGCTTTTTCGGACTTAGCATTCTTGTATTCTACATATTTGTTATGCATCTGTCTCCACGTTGAACTCGAATGCTTTTACTTTCACTGTTTTAACATAGGTCATCCTAGGTCCTACCGACTAAGAATGTGCTTCTTGCTTCATCCTGTTGCGACGCCATATACCACTAACTACCCAACAAGGATGAAGTCTCCGGCAGGACAGAGAGTCAACCGTTTATTCGAGAACTTGACGAAGCCATGGTAATGTGTGGGGTTTGCGTGTGTGTATTTTTACCTCGGATATGTGAGTCATAAATAAGTTAACATCGAGACCTAGGTGTGAGGATAATCCAAGATAAATACCCGTGTGAATGAGGGGGGAGTTGAGGCTCCGCGCGGCTGGCGACATGCTGCGAAGAGGGGGAACCCTGTGTCGAAGGTGGAGCGACCGGATTAAGGGGTGCGAATAAACACGTTTCACAACGATCCTAATAATGACCTAAAACCTGTTTACCACCCTTTTTTATGGTCTTACTAATTTTTCAGCTTCATTTCATCGATCTTTCGTGTATTTTTATTGTTAACTGCCACGTTGCGCTCGTAATGAATTACTAGACCACTAAACATACTGACTTTTAGGTCAACACTGGGCTTGCTGACCAACTAACGCAGCCTTTCAGTCAATTTTTTTTAATTAGGCCACCTCTACCCCTGAATTCGAGCAATGATTTAATTACGCTTAGTGTCACAAGATAAAAACATCTGGTTACAGCATTGAATGTTAAAGTTACAACAAAGACCATGATGGAATTGAAAGATTCAGTAGAATTAAACGAATTGTAGCAGGCGCATAAAGCGAGCATAAATTTGTTGAACTCTCGAATGAGATTATAAAAATAGGGAAAGAAATGAGAGCGGGTTCCATGCGAACTTTTAAATGTTTTTCATTTAAATTTCTTTCAGACTTATGGATTGGGATGCACCATCAAACTTAAACAGTGCGTGTTTTCAAAGAACAAAAACAAAAACGTTTTTCCGCGTAAGAAAACAGCCTTTAAAAACTCACATTGGGCCAAAAATCCTTATTAATAATGAAGGTAAGTCCTCACGCACACAGATGCCTTACGTAACTAGAGTTAATTAAGAAACCCGATGACCATAAAATATTCAGCATATTTTCATAGCCACTTTATCGGACTTGAACAAACACGCTTGTTAAAGTACCTATTGTATTTCATGTCCCTTTAATTAACTTGAATTACTTTTTAATTCGCTTACAGGGAGTCAAGTCAGCACAGGTATTTACCTACTCGTGGGCGTATTATCCCAAGATCGCTTAGAAGCGCAGTAGTTGTAACGATACATCTTCATCTTGATGCCCTTCATCGATCCTATGATAGCGGCTGCCAACCTTCAAACGGACTATTTTGCAGCTTATAAGATACAGATGCATTAAAATGCTTTTCTCTGATTGCGAATCAGAACTCGGACATTAGGACGTTTTAAGTCACCATGGGCTGTAGCTTTACCGAATGGTTAGCTTTTGAGTCAACCAACATTTTTACGGGCCTTTTAATACATGCTAACCTAAAGGTACCGGAGGCCCGCCCCATCATACATTGACCGAGCCTTTCGTGATCTAGTGCGGTCATTTTACTTCTCTACTACCTGTATTAGTAATAAGCTAAAGGAGTTCGGCAAGCCCAAATTTTCTCACAAAATCAAAGCGTTTCTTACTAGTTTGTGAGAAAATGGGCGTCTACGCCTTCCTCACAACTTTCAGTCTGCCATTTTGCCCAATCCAAACACATCTCAAGGGGCATTTTGCCCAAAGCACATGGTATAATGAGCTATGCATTTGAGCTTACTTTTGCTCGAAAATTAATCTGGCGACATTGTGGTTTCACCCCAGGATTCGACACGGCTTGCGAAGTATTTTAGACTTTTCATCCTCCACAACTCTCGACATCAAGAATGTACAAGGAATTTCGTGTTCACATATGGTCGTTTTCCTCCCGAACGTTTGATCCAAAAAAATTTAGATACCAAATAAATTCACTTTTCTGTGGATTTATGCCACATATGACTACCGATTTGATGAACAATTTAACGTTTGTTATTCTGCAGAACTTTCTTGATTATGCTAATATATATTTTAGCACTAACCTTTCTATATCCTAAAAATGTAGAGCCTATAATCCAAGCTTTGAACTGATAATACAATCCCTGAATTCAAATATGACTCGCAACTTGCGTTTTACATCGTTAAGAAATATCTCTAGATTCACATTTTATGAAAAAGTTAATTGAATTTGGGTCAATTGGATATGCAATTAAAAGATTTCACCTATTAGCGACAGGTTGATAATAACTGAGGCCTGAAAGTTTAGTAGGCCTTCAGTTATTACCTCGCTTAATCTACCTCTTTCGTAAAGGCGCTGAATTTCTCTCTTAAGAACCAGGAACACTATTAGGCCATACTAGATCAATTGACCTACTAAGTACCTATTTTGATTATAGGCTATCAGTTAATGATAGTTTTAGAGAAACGGTCAGTGTTAACGTGAAGTGGCGCAGTTTAATTGGCAGTTTGGGGAAGGCTGATCGATAGTATAATCAAATGAACATGGCGCACAGATGTGAAGCGTCAAACCTGCATCGCCCACAATGCTTGTCTGAACGCGTAACACCAAGCACGTGACGCCGTTTGGTAGATCCCTTCATTGAGGGACACGATCAGAAAGAACCCAGGCATTTTTAGCTTCCATGCGGGGTGAATCATAGACGTCAGCATCCATCACCGCAGTTGCCGCATGCTCCGGCACTTTAGCAGCTCACCAATTGAAATTATGTTGACACTTCTAACTATATTCCTGTGTAGTCATATTTTCCATTAAAGCCTTCGACTTACACGCATACACAACCCTGTGTATTCCCACAAAGCACACTAGTACATAACCTAGTCAAAGCATCTAATGAACGTCTGTCTTCGTAACATCTGCTCTTACTAAGATAAAATCAAGCTTTCCAAGAGACTTTTTCGATGACTTCC